TGAAATATTCAAGTAGATAGTTGTTCGCTGTTGATGATATTAGATATATTTTTATCCGAAAGAGAATGTAAATCCTCAACTTCAGACGATTTTATATGATTTTCAACAGTTCATATCATAGGTATTTTGTCATCTTGATTTTCTCTTACGTAATGCACAGAATTTCATGTATGTTTTGTGTCCTATTAATATCAAAGCTGTGATTTAAACACTTGTTGAATGCACCCTTTCGTTGACAGGTATCTTTCGGCGAAACGGCTGCTTGGTATATCTCACGATTGAACAGTAACTATATGTAAATCATCATTTGGTGGAATTCTACATCAAGCCTAAGATATTAGTATATCAAGACTAATCTAGAGGAAGTGACAAACAGAAATATTTAATTCAAATGGATTCCTTCGAGACTCTATATGTATATAAATTTCAAACAATGCAAACTATGGTGTATTGCAATATTTTCACGAAGCAATAGAGCCATCATCAATAATTCATGTATGTGTCTTCTTATTTCCAGACTCAATTTCTCCCGGATTATATAGGTTTCCCAAAGCAGACATTTCATTGAAACGCCAGCATATTATTATTTCTACTATACTATGGTATTTTTGCGAGATACGACGTATATACATTAGGGAAACCGCTCGGATATTATTCTGAATGCAGAAGTGGTGGCCATGGAAAGAAGAGAGAAATAAAGGAATGGGAAGATCTCATGAGATCACATATACGTATACCAAGTGAGTCTGTTCTTATATAATAGGAAGTAAAACTCAGACAATCGATAGAATTCTTAAGTCTGGTTCATTGCACTTGAGAAATGTTTCAATCATTCATATTGCCGTCATCAGTCAAAAACATCAGACATATATAACAAATTCTAGTTCTGATAACTGAACATTTATATATGAAATATCAAATCATTGCATGTTTACATCAATGACAATGTTGTTTGTTTACGTCGGCATGTATAGGATCGGAATCCATATCGAATCACAATATACTCGACAATATACATATACTATAGTGAATGCATCAAATTGTTTTTGAATTCAATTGGTTCACTTCAATCTGAGTGCACTGGAATCAGATTCCCCTCATCCTATGGTAATATATTTTTCTTTCAGATCATCCAATAAGATCGGAAAAATCTACTTTGAATTTCAAATCATGTGTCGAGGGATTTGAAGAGAAGAGTGGATTCGCAGAATTCATCAAGCAAATGAAAAAAAATTCATGGAACAGAAATCGACGAACAAATGATATTTTCTTATTGAAATTCATCCCATTCATACTTATATTTCATATGGATTAATGAACTTTCATATTTCAAATGAGGAGAAAAATATGGTGTATCTTTTTCGAAAATGAAACATGATGTGCAAATTGTGTCAGGTCATAATGATACCAATTTTCCTGTTCATTTGAGTGCTTCTTGTGGCTAGCTAGATACACTTGGAATTTGATTCAAATCGATTCAGTGATATTCACGAAAAAAAGTTATGATTGTATACATGAAAAAAATCAATTCCGCACCACGGGTAAAAAAAATGATATCAGAAAAGATATTGATTCGTTATAAAAATCATGGGGTCACAGTGTATTCACACCTCAAGCATACAATATAATAGTATACATTATTGAAATCATTAGATATATACATACTACAATACTACAAGAGGGTTTAGTTAACCGAGTCTGATTGACACGAATCATCATAGCGTGTGCAAAATCGAGTGGAAAACTGTTAAAATTTCGAAGCTCTGTATTTTTCCCTCTTCAAATTGAAGTTTCTGTATATTTTCATGTCATTCGATGCGTAATGAAATACCAAAAACTTTTATAATCACGATCCTATCTGAATTCCTATCGCATCATAAGTTATTCGTCGAAAACAGTTTGATGCAACTTCTGATTCAATTTTCTTGCTGAGCTCGAAAGAAGAAAACAATTTTGAAAAATCTATGACGTTATCACTCGTAAATGGATCACCCTGTATATTATCGAAGGAATTTCTACTGAAATTGTTCCCACGAACGATAGATTGAATTTTTTTCGACCACCTATAATCACATTGTTCGACTTGCTCGATGCAGCTAATAATACATTTTGCGAATCAGCTCGGCAAGGAAGCCCAAAGATCGGAATAACCGTCAGTAATGTAATAGCTCAGAAATATTTCACTCTGTATATTAAATTATATTTGTGTCGCAGAAATTTGTTTTCACGAGATTCACGAAGTGGACAACATCTAGGTTACATAATACGAACTTCAAACTGGGGGAAAACAAACTGTTGTCTATGAATAAAGTGCATAGACCACATTGCATACATCTTGCTGTAGCTGTGGTTTTCAAACTTTTCACTGACATAAAGTATTATCACTCTTATCAGTACAAGCTAATGGCTCTAATGGGATTGAGTGAGGATTGAGTTTGTTTTCCCCCAGTTTTTACGGGGATTTGACATGAAACGATGAAAACTGAGCGCCACCTGGTAGCATTGATCCCCGCGAATTGAAATTGTTCGTTCAGCTTGAATAATTTTATTTCTAATTTTACGAGCCATCCAAAATGTTTTGGCCACCGAGTATCAGTTTGAACTTCGGTTCTGCTGCTGTCACTTGCCACTTGCCACTTCGTTCATTTCGCCAGTAGTTGATTTTTGGATAATATCAGGAAATGAATGGTATTGATGGGAATGGAAATTCATCCCCATATTTTTGATTCCTGATGTGGCAGAGTACCTATAGGTTAATCATTTCAAGGAAATCATGCATAAAAAGATCTTACATGGTATATGCGAGCTAAACATGACAAATACAGCCTCTGGATTTCAAGTGGCGCATAATCAAAACAATACCGAAGTACGACGATTCTTCACGAATCGAAATGAATCATGATTACATTGTGATTTCATACTGATTTCATGCTACTGTCTCTAGGTTAATCGATGAGATGGCGGTACATTCATTATTCCAGATTTTCTGGGATTTTCTCTCCTCGTTTCTGTAAAATAAAAATATGAATATTATTTCAATATACGTTTAGTAAGGACAAATCAGATGATTTGCCCCAAAACGTCACTGCGTTTGAAGAATTTTCCTATCAGAGAGCCTAAAAGGAAACATTTCACTAGCTTGTCAGTTACAATTTATATTAAAAAAGGTTTGGAGAAGAGAAATGAAGGTTAATAGAAAGAACATAAAATTTCCACTCAGCTTAAGACGTTTCGGGATCGAATCTGCTACCGTTTTCAACATAAAGAATTGTTATTTGAATAGCAAATTCGTATCTGTCTTGAACCTTCTCAATTGTCAGTGACAATTGGTGACGTTGGCAATATCAAATGAGTTACAGAATGTTTTCATCAAATAATCTTGAATTTACCATTTATATTTTCAGATTTCAGTCGTGAATACCATGTTTTGTCTATGTCAACTGAACAAGAAGCAATGCTATTGTCTCCGTTCAGAAGAATGCAAGCAGATTCCTTGATTCTTCTCTTCTTTTCCAATAATGTTAATATCATTCCACTCCGCCATATGTTGTCCGTTTTCAGAAAGGATAAGTTCAGCTAGTTACGATTTATCGATGTGTCTTTTCTTTATATTGTACTTATGTTCCTTCGTCCTTACTGAAAGAGGTCTCTTGGTTTCAGCTGTATGAAACCCACAAACACAAGGTATACTGTAAATAACATTTTTTGACGATTGTTCTTCATTTTTCGACTTTGTTTGAGTCAGAATTGATCTCATTGTATTTTCAGTTTTGAACACAGTTTTTACTTGAAATTTATCACCAATATTATTGAAAACAAACAAGTTCAACCACAACACAATCAACCATCAATAACAAGAAATATAATACGATACATTCCCGGCATATCTGAAAAGAATAAAACGTGTTGATGATAAATTTCAAGTGAAAACTGTGTTCAAAACTGAAAATACATCGAGATTTATTCTAACTTAAACATAGCCGGAAAATGAAGAACAATCATCAAAAAATTATATTTACAGTATTGCTTGTGTTCGTGGAAAGTTTTATACAGGTGAAACCAAGAGTCTCTCAGTGAGGACAAAGGAACATAAGTACAATATAAAGGAAAGACACATCGGCAAATCGAAACTAGCTGAACGTATCCTTACTGAACACGGACAACATATGGCAGAGTGGAATAATATCAAAATCATTGGAAAAGGAGATAACGACTAGAAGAGAAGAAAAAAAGAAATCTGCTTGCATCCTTCTGAACGGAGACAATAGCATTGTTTCTTGTTTTAGTTGATATAGACAGAACATGCTATTCACTACTGAAATCTGAAAATGAAAATGATAAATTCAAAATCAATCAATGAAAACATACTGTAACTCATTTGATTGCCAACGTCACCAATTGTCACTGAGAACTGAATAGTTTCAGAACAGATACAAATTTGCTATTCAAATAACCATTTTTTATGTTGAAAACGGGAGCAGATTCGGTCCCGAAACGTGCAAAGCTAAGTGAAAATTTGATATTTTCCCTATATACCTTCATTCCTCTTCTCCAAACATTTTTCAATACAAATTGTCACTAACAAGCTAGTGAATTTTTCTTCCAGGCTCTCTGATAGGAAAATTCTTCAAACGCAGTGACATTTTCGGGCACAATCATCTGATTTGTCCTTACTACACGTATATTGGAATGATATTCCTATTTTTATTTTATAGAAACGAGGAGAGAAAATCCCAAAAAATCTCGAATAATGAATTATTTCATGCTGTTCCATGATGATTTCAAATATGATTTCATGCTGACTACATGGATTTCACGGTGATTCGCTGATTACATGATTGTGGTAATTACATGATGAATACATGTATGGATTTCATGATGATTACCTACATGATGATAACATTCTGATTGCATCAAGCCTGTCCCAGGATGTTATGAAGTGGTTACCCAGGAACAGGCCCATTCATTCGCATAACCCATCCATCCCTTGTGAAACTTACCAAGAGCCGCCCACACCCTCTGGTCTGCGGTCTCGTCCCATCCGGCCACGGACGTGGCTCTGATCTCCCCGTTCACTAGGTCGCAGAAAACGATGTACTCCCGAGGGACGCCGCTGCCGTCGATGCAATCGGGAGCGGGTCTCGTAAGGAAGGTCACGTTCAGCCACCTGAAACCAGGAAGGGCTTTTGAATGAGTATAGAGGATACACTCGATCTTCCGTTGGGACTTTTCGGGAATTTCCTATTGAGAGACTGACTCTGGGTGCTGCGGTCTTAAATAGTTAAGAATACAATTATCAGCCATCAGGGACCAAGGTTTCTATAAATTTAATTTCTGTATCTGATATCGAGCACAATGATTATTATTTCACAAAATCTTGTCTCCCATGAAATGTCAAATTTCGAACAATCACAGCTTTGTCTAAATGATAAGAATTACTCATAATATGTAATACCCAATGAACTCCTAGAAGGGAGACTGCCGTTCTCTCGAATAGCACAAAGTGTGTCAGTGGCAGCTGCAACAAAGATAGCTTGTGTTACGGTAATCTGTCTCTTTCACACTCGTGTTGTTAAATGACAGTTTGGTATATAAATTTTCTTGTATCCTTGGAGTATTTGAGACGACTTGAGATCTTTTCTGTAACCTAAACAGGCAAAAAAAGTGTGGAGACAGAAATTCATTGTTTTTTGTTATGTGAAATACACGTGAAATATCGCTGAATTTGGCATGTTTTGTTTCTCCAAAAAGACTAAATTTGTTGTTGTGAATTGGTTGTTGTTGAAAAGGTTTGTGATTTCGAATTAATAAACAGTGGTTATTTATATTGTGTTACCTTTGGATGCAAAACAAGCGAGACTATAACATAAATTGTCCTTCATGGGTAAGTTAAAAATTGTTCAGATCGATTCTTAGAACAACTATAGTTATATTATTTTCTGTGGATGCAAGTGTGGATGTTCATAACTTGAATTCTAAGGATGATATTTTTCATATGGATATTGATTTGCCTTTACAACTTCTCCCAAGTTTCAGAGTTTATTAATATTGAAACCTTCAAACTGTTCCATTCGAGGAGGACTATTCTGCAAAAAAAAGTGGAAAAACTGAAACCAAAAGTAAAAGAGAAGATGAAAATCTTGATGAGGTACTAAAAATCATTTTGAAGGTTGAAACTACAAGTTCACATGTTTAAACCCAAGAGGTACATCATATTGTCGTTTCCACAGATATTCATCTTGATGAAACAACTCGTCCAAACATTGTTCTTCCATTCACCTTACATTCACCTTTCATTCACCTTTCATTCACCTTCCATTCACCTTTCAATGGTGGTATATTCATGAAAAGAATAGGTACACTTGTGAATTAGGCTTTAGATAGACCTTAGGTACTCAATACCATTCAAGAGAGAAGAAGAGACAAAGAGCTTCGCTCCTGTAAGGATAAAAATGAAAATTCACTTTCAACTCAAAAAAAAATCAATAATGATTTTTTAATGATAATTGATTGCAACATTAACCTTTCCCCAAAATGAATATTTAAATTTGATCACGTATTGTCTTAAATAAAAGCAAATATCGAGAAAATATTTCAAATAATGCGAGCGCTTCCTATTAGCCAACATAAGATAGAAAGAGGTAGGTATCCGTAACCACTGCGGGTTGCCTGAACAATATTCAGTTGTTTACATTGAGTTTAATGGTAATACCACAAGTCATTCTATTTTACCGGAAATATTCGGCGAATGTTATGACAGCTTGTTGCCCAATCATTTCGCCGAATGACATTATTTATCAAAATTTTCGAGCTGTGGGCGAGAAGTTTTGGAAAAATGTCATTAGAGAAATCGAAGTAGCAAGCTGGAGTATGTCAATCGATGAATATTTCCAGGAAAAATAGTATCACGAGTTGTATTCAAGGAGTTTTCTAGATTGAGAAAATAAACGAGCGGCTTGCGAAAGTTGGGCACACTGATGCATCCATCATTCTGGCTTCCAACATAATTGACGTTTTGAACTTCCAGAATTTGATCACTGTAAAAGGAAGGTTGGTCACGTGTGGGTCAATTCGGCTTCTGTATCGGTTGAGCAAGTCCGATGAAATTTAGTGAACAAAAAAATATCGCTGTGATACAGAAGGAACCATGAAAATGGCCGATTCTGATTGTTTCTAGAGACCAAGAGTGGAATAATCAGAAGAAAATCATATGGCTACAAGCCGAAGAAATGAAAAATTTCGCTGCCACAGCCGTAAAAATAGTATGTGCATTGAGAAAATTCGGCCAAGTAAATCGTTTTCTTGAAAAAAAATTCGATTGTGACAAGAACATTCTCACTAACGGTAGGGAAATAACTGATGCGCTTAAGTCACTTATGACGAGTCAAGAAGTCACTTATGACAAATGAATAAGTCACTAATCGCAAATGAATCAGTCACGAATGATGAGTGAATAAGTCACTAATGACAAGTAGATATCTCACTAGTGACAAGTGGATGAGTCACTAATGATAAGTGCTGTGCTCACTAACGGTTATCAATCTGAAATTCAATGGAACAGAATCGATTTCATCCCTTTTTCAACACGCAATAGTTACTCATGTACTGAAGGACGAAAAACTCTCTATTATAGTCGAAGGCGGCAAATCAAAATAATCCAATAGCCACTACGATGAAAACTTTATATATTCGAATCTGGTCGAACATTCAATGTCATGGATGACAGTTTAAAAGCGATTCGAGACGAGCGATATTGATAACATTTTCGGGTTTTTCGAATCATCACTATGATCATAAAAAGTATAACCTGGCAACGTAACTATAACAATATTGAGACACCTTGTATAAATATTTAAAATAACCATATTATGAATGAAATATGTCTCAATAGCAAACTTGTTGAAACTTTATAGAGGAAAGATCCTTTAATATTCCCACCAGACTATCCTTACCTTTTTAATTTAAAGAATGCCAGGATTCATTACATTCTCTAGCATATATAACATGTAATCCCACAGAGATGTCAGTTACTCAAATTACTTTTCTCTTGATTAAAAATCCTTATAATCTCCAGCTAAACTTTGGTGCCATCAACAACTTTTGTTACTATGTGTTGGCTTAGAGTGCCTTGAACATCTCATTTCACGCCCCTTGAAGATTGTGGACACGCTTGTCACCACTGACAAGTCCAAATTGTTACCATTCACGAATTTGAAACGACAGTTCTGAAAAATGAATTAGCGTCCTCGCGAAATTGTTTTCTAATACACAGGGTGTCCCAAAATTACATAGAAAGATTCCAATCACAGATTCTAGGAACAAAAATAGTAAAAAAAGTTTATATAAACATGAGCCTGATGATGAGCATGATATTTTTTGTAAATATTTCGGAAACCCTTTGTGTTGGGATAACTACATTGTGTACGTGTATATTGCTTTTCATGCATAATTTGGAAATTTTGAGAATTTTCCGAAAATTTAATCAGGGTTGTGATAAATAGGTGGGGCTAGGGGCATATCTTTTCCCAAATTTTTTTCTATACAATTTTCGGCAGGTGGTGGACTCGTGGTGATGGTCTACAACACATAATTTCGTGAACAATGAAGCGACAGAATCATTTCGAATATTCTGAACATCGTGATATTTCCTGATAGCACACAACGTCCTAGTGTCCTTGGGACGTCCCATCCCGTAGATCTCATGTAATGTCCGAGCAAGGACGTCCACGGAATGTCCCAGCTTTTACATCATTTCAAATGTCCTAGAAATAGCATCCCTTAGACGTTCCACGTGGTACATATTGTAGAATGTCCATGCAAGGACGTCATTGGCATGCCCCTGATGGGATATGATTTTAAACGTTCCCTTAGGGACATCCATCGGACGTCCCTTAGGGATATCCGTCGAATGTCCGAATTGGTACATGAACTGTACTTTTCCAATGTCCTAGAAATAACGTCCTATTGACGTCCCAGTAGGTACTTTCGATATGTTGTCCCTGCGAGGACGTTAACTTACACCTCGCCGACGAATGATTGCTCGTAGGCTATAAGTACTCCTCGTCAATGTCCTTCAATTAAGTCCATTGGACATCCTGGGGACACTTCTTGGGGCCTTCTACCGACCATCAATTCATCTGGATGTCCTAATCAGTTATGTCCTAGAGGGACCCAGAAAAATTCAAATTCAAGAATAATTCGTACGTCCCTGGGACATCCTATGGACGGACATCCAATTGATATCCCTCAGCGTTGCTGATAGGTTGTCCTATGGATGTCCCAAGGATGTCCTCTTACATTGAATAAACGTTATGAAATAACATTGATTATTATGTAGTTCCTGATATATTTATAGTCTGTCCAAGATAAGGTTGTACAGCATGGGGATCTCGGAAACGGTAGGAGATACGGAGTCGGTTAAATGGGGAAAAAGTTGCGCATTCGGAGGCTCATACCAACAGATTTCGAAAATTTTCAAATTTTTCTTTAGTTTTTCAGTTATATCGAAAAAAGTGAATTTTTGGAATCTCTATTTTATTTTTTTCTCCGTTATTATTAGAGATACAGGAAAACTGAAAATACTTCTCCATAGCAACTTTTGATGACGTTTAACGTGGTGATACCGATTTTTCTATGCGACGTATTGTATTCGTAGAACCTTCATCAACTTTTGTTTTTTAAATACGGCCCTGATGATTCTTTCACAGATTCTGAAAGCGTTTTTTATTCTGAATTCAACCATGTGTTGAACAAGGTGGTTTGAATGTGTTTCGAACTATTTTTAGACATCATCAATGTTTTTTTCGAAATTCTGATGAAAAAATGCCATCAGTTCCACTTATTTTGAAGGAAAATTAGCCAACAAACTAATACCTCATCAACTAGTTCCGATTGATAGACTCATTGGAATAATTAGTTCGAAAAATTTAATTATGACAAGCTCCTTCGGATTAAAATATGAATACAATTCATGAACAATTCGAAGCGCTGCATTGAATAATTTAGTTGTTTTTTTCCACTTCTCAGTATTGAATAACTAGTCTATCAATGTGTGACACTGAATAATCAGAAATAAGTGAAACTGATGGCATTTTTCCTTTGGAATTTCGAAAAAAACATTGATGATGGCTAAAAATAGTTCGAAACACATTCAAACCACCTTGTATAATACATGGTTGAATTCAGAATAGAAAAGATTTCAGAATCTGTGAAAGAATTATCAGGACCGTATCTGAAAAACAAAAGTTGGTGATGGTTCTAGGAATACGAAACGTCGCATAGAAAAATTGGTATCACCACGTTGAACGTCATCAAAAGTTGCTAGTAAAAAGTATTCTCAGTTTTTCTGTTTCTCTAATTATAACGGAGAAAAAAAATAAAATAGATATTCCAAAATTTCCCTTTTTTCGATATAACTGGAAAACTTAAAACAATTTTGAAAATTTTTGGAAGGCTGTTGGTATGAGCCCCCGCATGCGCAACTTTTCCCCCATTTCACCGACTTCGTATCTCCTACCGTTTCCGAGATCCCCATGCTGTGCAACCTTATCTTGGACATACTGTATAATATTTACCATCAACATCATATTGTAATATTCAGAAGAGGCACAAAGACCCATTACCGCAACGTATCTGTGACATTAAGCATCTCTCTAAATAACATCACAAAGTAACAATGTAATGTAACATTCATGTTTAAGCTATGTTTTCATGTTTAGTGGGTTGCCGCTTACCTGAAATCGCTGGTGATCCACGAACTCAGCGTCTTCGCCCCCTTGTAGGTGTTGATCAGGTCGAAGGAGGCGGTGAAAATGTCCCTCCTGGTTTCGGCGTCGTCCGCCTCTGCGACGCTGACGCCGCGAAAAACGATCTCTGAGGAGGCGACGCTCTGCTCGACGCTCACTTGTCTTTCGTTGAAGAATTGTTCGAGATCGCACGGGGACACGCGGGACACTAATGTGGCACTTAGTGTCAGTGTTAAGTGTAGGATGTCAATGAAATTCATTTCGGCGTCACTGTTTTTCACACTGTCACTTGTCTCCATGAAAACATTGTACTTGTTAGATTAACTATAACTGGTGAAGAAAATATGTACAGGGTGTCTCCGTAAATTTCGAGAGGTAAACCGCGGTGGAATTCTGAAGTACAAACAACTGGAATTCCTTGGAATTCCTTGGATTTCCTTGGAATTCCTTGGGTGGAATGCGGTATATTCCTGGGCTATATACAACTGAAATTTCTTGGAATTCCTAAGATTTTCTTACAATTTCTTGAAATTCCTTGGAATTCTTTGGATTTTCTTGAAATTATTTGAGTGGAGTGCGGATAATTTTGGTGTACAAACAACTGAAATTCCTAGGAATTCCTTGGATTTCCTTGGAATTCCTTGAATTTCCTTTAAACTGCTTGAATTTCCTTGGAATTCCTTGGATTTTCTTGGAATTCCTTCGTTTTCTTTGGAATTCCTTGGAGTTCCTTGGAATTCCTTGTGTGAAGTGCGGTATAATTCTGGTGTACAAACAACCGGAATTCCTTGAAATTCCTTGGAATTCCTTGGAATTCCTTGGAATTCCTTGTGAAATTGGTTTGGTTTGGTGTACACAATTTTGACCGCGGTTTACCCCTCGGTATATTTTGACCCCTACCTATAGCTATAGGTATACAAGGTAGGAAAAGCTTCAAACATGAAACTTGTAGGAATTCATCTGTACTATCATTTAGCACTTCTTGAACGATCAGATGCGAATCTCAAAATTATTTGATATCTCACCATTCTTTCATAGTTTTTTTTTTAAATCATGTGAATTTCCATTTCCTTTAATTCATAATTCCCGCAAATATCATAACCTTATTGTTTGACCATGCTAGCTTTTCATTAATTTCATCCACATAATTAGTATTTAATACAATGGATTGTAATTGTTGTATTCTTAAATGTTTCTCATTAAAATGAGACTGTAGATGAGTATATATCTACGCGAAAACTAGTTCATTAAAAGTATTAAAAACTTTGATAAATAACAATCCAAATCAGTTTTTTTTTTCATTGAAACAATCTGTATATTTTCAACTCTATTGAAAGATCTTCTTCTCCTGTTCACAAATATCTATTTATATAGTTTGCTGATGTTTTCTCAAGCCATTTTTCAATATTGATTGAAAGTTGCCAATACCATTTAGATGGCGGTGGACACAACACAAATGCAATGGAACGTGTGTATTTCAATTGGAATGCGTTATTCCGTAGAGAAAAAATATGAACTAGTGAGATTACATTTTGAAATTATTGCAAAAATTTAAGTAGTGCAGCATGAATTTAGTCAAAACCGACCTAAGAAAACATTAGCAAACTATGGATATATATGTAGAGACAAGAAAAATATCTGTCACAACAGTTGAAAATATACAGGGTGTTCCATTAAAAAACTGATTTGGACCCTTTTTCTCTATCTTGCGATTCGCAATCGTTTATGCAAGGAGTGCTAATAGATAGAACAGATGAAACCCCACAACTTTCATATTCGAAAGTTCTTTCCATATATATTATTGTTGAAGCTGTCGGTAGGGGTCAAGATATAAGGAGATAACCTGTACATTATTTTGTCGGACATATCCGGCAATTGTTACGACAGCAATGATTTTAAACCAATCAGAATGTTCAGTTCCGCTAAGCTACCTTAAATAAAAAATTCAGGATTGTTACATACTATTACCATTTTTGACGTTCGTTCAGAACTACTTCGCGGTAGGATTATTTCATCAGAGATATTTCATTTATCAAACTAACACTCTTGTAGTTAATTTTTGTAACAAGTTATCGATGTGTAACCCGAATATTTTTAAGTACTTATAGTATTAATAGGGGGATTCATCAACCCAGCCGTAGGTGAGAAGTAATAAAACAATATCATGAGCGAAAATAAAGCAGCAAGCTGGAGTATGTCAATCGACGAATATGTCCAGGAGAATATAGTATCACAAGTAGTATTCTCAGGACTATCTCATGGTCAGATCAGATAATGAATAATGATACATAAATCCGTGCCACAAAAATTGACTACCTACTGATTATGATTGAAGTTAATGTACCTATGTCATATCACTAACATATTTTAATGAGAATTTTATTGCCTAAAAATCGAACGAATGAAATTGCCTTCGGAGAAATTTTCACTGGTTCCTTTGAAGCCAGCTTTGGCCCATCAAATCAACTTTTCATCATATTTTGCAATGAAGTTTTTTCATTGGTCAACATTTTGAAATCAATACAAATGGTAGCATTGTGTTCTTTTTCGTTTGAAATGTCTACTATTATTCGGAAATCCATATAGGAAACCCGTCACGAAGACAGACCAATGCCCTCTTGGCTTTGAACAGGAAGGAGCTGAAACTGGCGGTGGGCCTTCTGACAGGGCACTGCCACCTGAACAAACATCTCAGCATGATCGGAATTGTGGAGGATCCTGAATGCAGATGGTTCCTTGAGGATGAAGAGACTTCTACTCACATCCTCACTGGATGCCCGGCAATAGTGGCAGCAAGGGATATCCATTTTGGGAGCAGTATCCTCGACCCAGAGGATGTTAAAAAGGTTTAGCCTAGAAAGTTGGTCTCTTTTGCTCGCGAGATCGGCCTTCTCCATGGCTGACTTGCGATCCCAGGAATATGGGTGTACAATGGGCCCGAGAAGGGAGGCCTAAGTGCGTCAGGTCCCGGACCGCCCACACACATACACATACATACAGAACTGATCAGCTGTTCTTGGATGGCTTTTGTAATATTGTAATGTTCGAGATAATTCTGTCCCTTTATTGTTCACGAAATTGTGTTGACGAGGTTAATTTTCTCCCCTCCGCTAAGCGTCGGACGCGGAAGAAAATTGATACCTTTGCTTCCATGATATATAAATAGCTATTGAATCAGTTAACTTAATCATTCCTGATGAACATATAAATGACAAGTCGATGCATTAAATGTTTGACGATACACATATAGATTTCAGTAAAAGAAACGATGAGCGAATAGGGTTTTTCATAATGAGCGTTAATTAGACGCCCCTGGCAAACCAAGCAACAGATGAATCTGGAAATTCGATGGTATATACAGTGTGTCCCACTTACCATGCTCACCATGGGTATCTTTTTAACGGTGAGAGATACGAGGTCGGTTAAATGACACCAAATGTGGAGTTTGTCAAGGCCAACTATAATGTGAAAAAGTATCATGATTTTTTTGTTGAAATTTATAAATTTGTGATGGCGGCTTCCAAATAATTTTTTGTTTTATTAAATATAAATGACGATAACTCCATTGTTATCAACAAAATACTATTACTGCGACATATCATCTGTAAGAGAAAAAAAAAGTTATTTGTAACTAAGTCATAGTGAGCTATGACCTACATTTGAAAAACTAAAGTTGGTGCTGATATCCCAAATTCTAGAAGAGTTGGTATAAATTTCATATTTTTTTCGAAATCACTTTGAAAAACTGCCATGAGAATGTGAAATTCCCATTTGAATATTTTCATAAATAAAGAAGTTACGGAGGAGACATGAAAATGATCAAAATCTGTTTTTCGCGTATAAAACAAAAACGAATAGATTTTATCAAAATATTTTTTCACATTATAGTTGGCCTTGACAAACTCCATATTTGGTGTCATTCAACCGACCTTGTATCTCTCACCGTTAAAAAGATACTCATGGTGAGCATGGTAAGTGGGACACACTGTATATAAATTATTATGATCTACACATCTAAAATATTTTGAACAATGCGGTGTTCAAATGGAACACGCTGTTTTCATCGCATTTCCAGATTCTCGCTGAAGGGGTAATTTCATCAATGTTTCATCAATTCATCAGAGATATATGGTCTTCAAAATCTAGATTTTTCAACTTTGGGATCTGTTTGTGTCGAAAGTATTTATTAATGGTCAAAACGGCTAGTTTGTTTTGGATCTTTTGATCAACTATCTACTGACATTGGAAGAAATACAGGGTGGTTTAATATTCACAATTTTGATCAGCCTTCATAGGGACATGTGAGTTGTTTTGACCAATAATGAATAGTTCCTACACAAAAAATGCAAAATTTGAAACACTCTAAATCTCTGTAGACGTTCCCACTCGACCCCCAAGTGTGATGTATTGATGAAATCAGCTCTTCAGGGCAAATCTAGAAATGCAATGGAATACAGGGTGTTTCATTTGAAAAGTCAAAGTTGCTGCTAGTTTCGAGTAGAAGCGGCAACGCGGCATCGTTCAATATATCTCAAACGGGTAGATAATGTCAAATTATACATACCATCTGAATTTCAGAATCATCTGTTGCTTGGTTTGCCAGAACGTCTGATTAACGCTCATCGTGAAAAACCCTGTATAGGTAACTAATTATCATATTGAATACATAATTACTGCACTAGTTTTTTTGTTTACCGGTATCAACTGAGATATGATCGCGAGTTGCTTTTTAGTCGACGCCTGAAGGTGAACTGGCTGTTGTAATTCCAAACAAAATAATAGATAATGAGTTATTAACGAATTAAAAAGCGAGTAGCGCGAAACGCGTCATCCGTATTTTTTCGCAACTATAATTCATTACTGAGAAAGATCCGTCATCATTATCCTTTTTACCACTTTCTGTATATATCTTCATAATAATATATATAGGTTATTTATTCACATAATATGTTTTCGTAGGAAGATGCACAAAAGTCAAATAATACCTACTCATACGAAAGTAGACGTTTGCTTCCTCATTTGAGAAAACAAAGTTGTCAATTTACTCCCACGGAAGGAAAGAAATATTTACTCCAGTGGGAGGTAAAATAAATTGGCTTCAGCATGCATCCTTAGACGTCGATATATCTATAAAATCTGTGCAATCCAATAATATCCTGTCTGAATTCCAATGATATTTTACACTTCTTCATATGCCGAACATACTTCTAATCAAAACTTTCGAATGAAGTTACACAGTATACAAATCAATTAATTCATGATGACAGTAGTGTCAAATTGTCTGAAGCACAATTTCAAGAATGATGATGCATTAAAAAAATGCGTTCGTTGATAAAATCATGAATATATCATGGGAGCAAAGGTTCATTTCCTCCCATGTGTGTCCTTCCCTCCCTTGATATATAAATAGCTATTGTTCAAATGTCAGCAAGCGAAGTGGCTCTTTCTTGTTCTATAGAACGCGAAATACTTTTGCGTTCAAGAACGTAAATGTTGAACGATTTGTCATGAAATGTGTCAATTAACAATGACAGTGATATGAACCTATACTTAAATCATTGATTTCTCATACTCATTTTCGTTCTAATGGAGTTACGAATGCCTCGCTGAAGTATGATTCCGCATTCTAGATACAAGAATATTTTCTGCAGCCGTCTCGAAAATAAACTTTCTTCAATTCCATATTCATAATACACGAATTGCATATCTGCTGTCATTTTAACACGGATTTTCATCATGATACAGATTTTGACCAAAGCAGATACGTTTCATTATGAAACGAATTTTCAGTCTATAGAAACACGTACAATGCAACGACCATTTAATTACTATCAATACATTAGAATACTACTATCAATAGAGATGAATTATCATTATGTGCTATCATTACAATAATCGTTTTCCAAAATACGATAATTAAGGTATGATTCTTCAAATCTAGTGCTACAATATATAGATGGTAATGAAAGGAGCTATTTACGGGACGATTTTCTTCACTTTCAGAATGATTAAGGTACTTTCAGGACGATCCTTGTTACTTCCGGGACGATTTTGGGTATCTATGCGTTGGCGGTTTTGAAAATAACAGAAATTTTGTATTTCATTGAGAAAGTGCTCGTGATCCAACATTGGTGTGTTTTATCGCTTTTCAAATCCAAAGAACAGCTACAGAGAAATATTGTAAGAACACGATTCAAAAGTGAATTTAATGGACTCGCAGGACGAGCCATAGTATCGTGCATGCTTATATCGTAAAATTTCTCTTTCGGTTACGTGAATCACTTTTATTCAAAGCAATTTTCAGCCTATTTTTTGTGCGAGTGAAAAAAGCATTGTCATTATACCAAATACAAGCACACGAAAGGGTTTTTCTATCATATTCGTGGAACATTTTGTGTTCCTAGGGAGTATAGGGAGAGAAGGTATAGGGTATTGTTTTTTTTTCCTTTTTTCACTTTTAAAGGTTATCAATACAAGTTTTGAGAAACTTTTGATGTAAGTATCGAGTTCGTCTGACTGGTATTGCTTGTAGTAATAATAGCGAAGATTCCATAACGCTTCTCTTTCAGATAATTCCGGATAATTCCAACGCTTTGTCGTTCGATAGGAAAACGAATTCGGGTATAGATCGTTATTGTTTGACATAATATCTCGATGTTGACGATAAAATGAGCAGTCAGCATAAGAGAGCTTTGGAGTTTGTCTGACTGGAATTGCTAATGCTGATCATGGTATATAGTTAAAATTAAGTGATAATTAAGTGACGAAGTTAATCTGAGACCATGCAGGTGACGATTAAATTCAAACAGAAGAGTTGTCAATTGAGATAGATGATGTTAAGAATGAAAATATCGAGGAAAATTTTGAATCCAATAATCCTATATAAGGAGCTGTCAATTCAAAGATGGAATGGATGGTCATGGATGAAAATACAACAATAATATGAAATTATTATTTTCGATTCCAACATACTTGACATTGGTGTACATCCAAATTCATTCCTGGCTCAACATTCCGTCAGTTGGAAGAAGTAATCATTACATAACGGTCAAAGGACCAGTACTTCGATACAAATTCCATTCTGCCCTAGTATGTGGCCGAAATAAAAGAAAGTTACGCCAGAAATATATAAAAAAATTCATGCATGAACGTTTCAGACATTTATTGACTATCAATATGGAATTTGACACTAATGATTTTGAATTAATTTGAACAAATTCAGTATGCCACTGACGAAGAAAGATCGAATAGTAGTCTACTAGAAATTACTGGAAAACCAGTGCCGCTCGATCACCTACTTAACCGCCAGCCGCACTACTTCACCGCCCGCTGTACATCTTTGAATTCTTGATCGCCCAAGGGCGCTAAAGTGCCACTTCAACCCCCGCAAATCCGGGCGATAAAGTGTCACTTTACGTCGGCGGTCGTGCATAAAAAAATAAAGATTCTCCATTTTCCGTCACCCCTGATTGACAGTGCCTATATTCTATTCTGTCTATTTCTCAGACATAATATCTGAGTTTGAGCTACATTCAAACTGATGCAATTATATTCTTGTCAACCTTCTCGGTAACGCTTTCTGTCACATTAAACAGTCGTCTTCATTAGTGCCACATGTGCTTGAGAGAATAGACTCAGAAATTAGTTCACGACCTTTGAGGTGGAGAGATATGAAATACCGCCCCAATCTGCATACGCAAATAATACTCCTCATACTGAACCGATCTCATATTATGTGATAGCAATACACCGAATCATAGTATTGAAATTAATTAACCTGGTATCTTGTAACCTGAACGAATACTGTTATTTTTAAAAATCAAATCGAGATTGGTATTCCGTTCGTATTAAAGATTCCAGCAATTATTCCATATGAAAGTTTGATTACTAGTGGGTGAGTCAACTGAATATATACAAGATATCCCAGAACAACGTACCATGAATTCTACAGGGTGAACTAGCAATCAAAATAGGCCGATTGAAATCAACTTACCTCCATACAAAAATGCACCGTTGAGAAGTGAGAGGGCGATAAAGAACAATTTTATTCCCAGATTTTCTTCAATATTTTGAAATCAGAAAGTTAGGTTTTTCGCATTCTCTTTATTAAAAATTGATGTTACTTTTTCCTATCTTCTGAACATTTCTCAAAAAACAATAATTTTTCTTCTGTTAAAGTTGTCGATGATTTCAACGCAATATGAATCAATTTTCTAGGATGTGTTCCATCATATAAAGTGGCAAAATACGTTGAATGTGGCTTGCATAATTTTAAAATCAGAAATGATGTGATAAAAACCTAAAAATGAGAAATTATCGATTTTTAACATCCTGTATGAGGAATATGGAAAATTACAAAACCGTTTCGAGATATTGGCTTGAACGTTCGAAAAAGATGATTGATAGAAAAAGAAAAAAGAATTCCCAGAATTACGGGAGCGTTTGAATTCTCTCATATTTGAAATACTTTATTCGAACACTTGGTGTATAATGACAAAAAAACTCCCGACAAGTTTTGAACACTGCATTGATTTTTCAAAAAGGTATGACCGTTTGAAAATTGTTGAAAATTTCAGTGGTCCACTTGTTCCTTTGAGCACTTTATTTCTCAGTTTGAGTCTATCTCATGCCTTTCTGGCGGAGTTGAGTAACGATTGTTTCCATGTGACCCCACAAAAATGATCAAGAGGTGTCAAATCTGGAGATCTTGCCACTCATTCGGTGGTATACTAACAAATGGCTATTCAACAATATTTAGCTACAAAATATTCCTGATGATAAAACGGATACATAATGGAATGCCATTTCAATTTTTCTGAATCTGAATGATTTTATGTTATTCCATAGGAATTGATCGGCCCTAATATATATGTTTGCGAAACCTTGCTTCCCGTTCAGAACAGAAATCTTGACCATTCATTCCCTCCAAATAATAGTTGGTAATCAATTTTTCCTTAGAGTAATCCGAGGAAATTGCTGTCATTTTTCTCGTCCATTTCTAACTCACTTATTCAACGAACTGAAACTCAAATGACCCAAAAGGTTCAATACAGTCCTTTCAAGTTAGCGAAGTTCTTCGTTGTGTCGGGTGATTAATCCTCTAAAGGGAGAAGGAATTAAGCAAAGCAATATAGGTCCTAAATATACGAGGTGATTCAGTGGCAAATACCACGAACAGGGTGTTTCAAAATTAGGCCGACAAAGCTTGACAGGAAGGTGATAGCCCTCATGATTTCATAATAACTGAGATAGGGACAAACGGTCTTTAAGTGTTCAGTTATGAAGATACAAGGTGTTGAAGTTGAGAAATGGAAATAGTTTTTTCGTAATAATTCAAACATGATGATAGAATATTTTGCATTCTAATTCGGTTTATGATTTCATCATCGAATGGATAATTCCTTAACCAGAAAGTCATTCCAGACATTGAATTCATTCGTGCGCTATAGGGAGTTGCAGTAACTTTCCCCTCCCATATTTTCTACGTCACTGATGGTATTTCTGTTATTTTCAGCTTTTCGAATTCATTGTTCAATTCTGTTCAGGAAAAGTGCCACCTTCAACTGGGCTAGAATAAACTGTTTTCGAGATATTTGACCCTAAATAGAAGTTTGGATTGTCATTCAACATCAGTTTTAGTAGTAGAAAATTACGAAAACTGGTGCTGAATGGGTTGGAAACTTTCTCAGATGTGGATTTCAGTCTATAGCTAGACAGAAGAAGTTATTTCATGTGAAAAGGAA